CCGTCTCTGAGATCCCAGCTTGCGGAAAGCTGGTTTCGGGGTTTTTTTTTAGCTTCTATATTTGTTAAAATGTTTCAAACTCCAAGCTCTGAGGCCGGCAAGGCAGGCGGGGAACATTGGTTTCCTTGTCACTGAAGCAAGCAAGCCTCATATTAGTTTCAAGCTGGCTGGCTGCCAGCTGCCATCTTGGCTGGCAGTTAATTTGCATATCCCGCTGATTAGCCAATGGGAAGGATAGCGGTCATATGCTAATCACCATGTTTCTCTTTTATTAGATAGGATTAAGACTTAATTCAACCATTCCTGACTGGTACAGCTATATGACTGCCTCTCAGTATGGGAGACAGGTGAAGAAGGGAGGGAGGACAGGAGAGACTGGTGCATATTGATTGTAATGGGCCTGGCACTGTGTTAGGTACTTTACATGAATTATCCTATATAACTTTTGTAGATTAAAAAAAAGGGGGACGGTTCTATTGAAAGTAACCTTACAGGGTGATTTGATCATAAATTCCTACTTGGGCAGGTCATGATGAGTAGTTATGCCCCAGGGAAAACTTTTTAGTAAAAGGTTTATCTTTGCCTCAATCAAACCCTCTCCATTGTTTTTGTGTATCTAGGTTAACACACTTTTGAAATAACCACCCACAGAAGAGCACATAATCTTAACTATTTTGTAATCCAACCCCCGCTTTGCTTTCTCCCTTTTCCTTCATTTCAAATGCATAAAAGAAACGGCAAAACTGTTATTTCCTGGAGCATTTTAGATCTTGCTCCCTGGCATGTGTCAGTTTGACCCATATAAACTCATAACAATTCTCTATAGGTTTGGACTTTTTTACGTCAACACTTTTAACAGTCTTGAATGGTGGATTTTTTGTTGTTGTTAATACTCACCTGAGGATCTTTTTATCATTGCTTTTCAGAGAGAGTGGAAGGGAGAGAGAGGGAGAGAGAGACAGAAATGAGAGAGACACATTGGTTGCCTCCCACAGGCGCCCCAACCAAGGGCGGGGAGCAAACCCACAACAAAGGTACGTGCCCTTAACCAGGAGTCAAACCTGCGACCCTTTGGGCAACACTCTAACCACTAAGCTACACTTGCCAGGGCTTGGATGGTAGATATTCTTGTCTCCACTTTACAGAGGCTCAGACAGTTAGAATACCTCATACACAGTCATGATGGCTGGTAGAACTCAGCTTTCAAATAGAAACCCAACTCCAAAGCTCCTTCTCTTACCACTATCTCTTAGGAAATTATAGGCAGAGTAGGGATAGGAACAAACACTTGTGAGATTCTGGGTCTGCCATGACATGGATAGGAAGATGAAGAATTTGAGAGAGGCAAGGTGGAATAACTGGTTGAGGGGCCTTGTTGGTTGGCCAGCCCTGTTCCGGTGTGATTCACTTCCTGCTGCTCTCGAATGCTTCTTCACTGCCCACAGGAGGGCCCTGGTCTTTAAACTAGGAAGGGAAGGAATGGCAGGGTCAGGCCTCCAGACATTCAACGAATTACTTACCAAACCAGAAGTAGAACTCTGAACCTCCGACTGGTTATCTTAGTACCAGGGTCAGTGCCCAGAGGCACCCAGCTCTGAAGCAAGCACACCCACTCCCGAGGAGACATCTGCTGTTTGCTCCTGGCTGTGCAGAATGAGCTGGTTAAGTGTTCCCAGAAGTGTTTTTTTTTATCTTGCCAGGTATTTGTTTTTGTTTACCTGGGATTGCATTTCATGTTTGGAATCTTTACAGTGACACACCCTGTTTGACACCAGACTGAATTAAACAGCAGCTGAGTGGATTTCCTGATTGTGAAATCCCCTGGCCATTTGTGCCTCTGCCTGCCTGGGTCTGGGATGCATTTATCAGAGAATGAGAAACTGTGTGCACGCACTGTGGGACACGTGCCTGTGAGAGTGTGTGTGAGTGTGTGTGAGTGTGTGTGTGTGTGTGTGTGTGTGTTCCTGAAATCGTTTGCAGGCTGTCTTCTGTCCTCCTCAGCTGGGGCCTCCTCTCTGCCAGAGGGCAGTGTGCTAGAACAAGCTGGAGTAGAGGCCAGAAAACAGAATTGGTCTCCTTACTTAAGAGGGGAAACACCAAAAGATTTTGAATGTACCAGAAATCCTTCTTTTAGAAGGAAAAGCCAAGCGGGATGCGTTGCAAAGAGGGAGGCTGATCCCTGAAAATACAATGTGAGGAACAAGGTGTCTGAAAGAAGCCAGGAGAGCAGCACACCCAGGTGTCTTCTGGAGAGTTACTCAGGTAGGAGGAAGGAGACACAGATGGGTCGGGGCAAATCTGTGTTTAGAGGGGGGTGCTCTTTGTGTGTTCTTGACTTTTTCCTGTTCTTTTAAAAAAATATTTTTATTAATTTCAGAGAGGGAGGGAGGGGGAGAGGGAGATCGAAACATCAATGATGAGAGAGAATCATTGATCAGCTGCCTCCTGATCATGCCCCACACTGGAGGATCGAGCCCGCAACCTGGGCGTGTGCCCTGACTAGGAGTCAAACCATGATCTCCTGGTTCATAGGTCGATACTCAACCAGTGGGCCACACCGGTTGGGCTTCCCTCTTCTTTCTTTAAATTTATTTTTATTGTTGAGAATATTACAGATGTTCCCCTTTTCCTCCCCTTTGCTCCCCTCCACCTGGCTCCCACCTCACCCCAGGCCTTCATCTCACTATTGTACGTGCCCATGGGCTATGCATACATGTATATAAGTTCTTTGGTTAATCTCTTCCTGCCGCCTCTCCCACCTTCCCTCTGAGATCTGTCAGTTCCATGTTTCTATGTCTCTGGATCTATTTTGTTTGTCAGTTTATTTTATTCTTTAGATTCCACATATAAGTGAGATCATGTGATAGTTGTCTTTCTCTGACTGGCTTGTTTCGCTTAGAAAAATACTCTCCAGGTCCATCCATGAGGTCTCAAAGAGACCCTTCATGTTTGCAGCTGCATAGTATTCCACAGTATAAATGTACCACAGCTTTTATATCCACTCATCTACTGAAGAGTACTTGGGCTCTTTCCAGATCTTAGATATTGTAAATAACGCTGCTATGAACATATGGGTGCATATATTCTTTCTGATTGGTATTTGGGATTCTTAAGATATATTCACAGAAGTGGAATCACTGGCTCAAAAGGCAGTTCCATTTTTAATTTTTTTTTAGAAACTCCATACTGTTCCCCCCACCCCCCACTGTGGCTGTACCAGTCTGCATTCCCAACAGCAGTGCATTAGGGTTACCTTTGCTTCATATCCTCTCCAGCCCTTGTTATTTGTTGGTTTATTGACGGTAGTCATTCTGGCAGGTGTTGAGCATTTTTTTCATATGTCTATTGTCTATATGTCCTCTTTGGAGAAGTGTCCATTTTTTTAAAAAAATTGGATTATTTGTCTTCTTCTTGTTGAGTTGTACGAGTTCTTTATATATTTTTTAAATTAACCCCTTATCAGGTGTATCATTGACAAATATGTTTTCCCACACCTGGTTTCCCTTTGCATTTTAAGGACGGTTTCTTTTGCTGTGGAGAAGCTTTTTGACTTTTTCTTCTTCTGGACATCCCTTTTTCTGGGCTGGGGAAATTGCTATCGATTAGTAATCCTAGGAATAGAAAATAATCAGGGAGAATGTCTAATTTAAGATATATTATTTCTGAGTCAGGGAAAGGCAAATCCCATCTGATTTCCTTATATGTAGAATCTAAGAAAACAAAATAAAAGAACATAATACCTGGCATATATATATAGTAGTTGTTCAGTATATGCTTGCTGGATCTGAAAAAAGGAAGGACAGCTGACCTTCAGAATGTTGGAGATAATTCTGGAATCCTCTAGATCTGAGCAGTTCTCTATTTCCCCCCCAATTTAATATGTTCATTCCACTAGAGTTTTTTGCTTGTTTGTTGTTTCTTTTGCTAATAGCTCATGGGTAAGGATGAAAAGGGGAGGAAAAGGGAAGAATGAGTGACTGAGCTAAAAGGCAGACTCTCAGTCTGGGGGCTGCTATCTCCATATATTTTACCTCCCCTCACTTTAGTCCTTGTGTCCTTTGCCCCATAGCCCATAGCTATTAATAACTACCTTAACCAGGGTGGCATCCATCCAGAAAGGTTGGTCACTTACCTAGGTAAAAAGATATGGCTAGCAGGTCTACTTGTGTGGATATGCAGGCTGTAAGATTGAGGGTGAGGCCAGCATAACAGATTTAATCACACCTTATGGGGATGGGACCCAATGTTATACAGCGGTCAGTCAAGGGATTTCTCACAGCACATAGGCAGATAGTGTACAGGAGAATGGATCATTTTTTAAAAGTTTTATCTGTATGTATATTTTGGTAAGAAGAATTTCTTCTGGGCACTCATGGGTAAACTGTTGATTATGTCTGGGAGACTACATGTGCTAACTGAAGAGAAATGTCACTGTGAGAGTTGTGTTATAGTTTCAGATAAAATGCTCTGTGTCTAAAACAGATGTAGAGATGCATCGTAGCATTGTGCTGGCATTGTGAGCAGGTGTAAGAGTTTGGGGAGTTAATATTACTATTTAGCTCAATTCTAGTTATAATTATTATTCTATGGTCTCCAGACTATATGTTTGCAAATATTTGGGGTGAATTTCACTTCCCATTTTACACTTATTCTCTTCTTATTAAATTTATCTTAGTAAATTTTGAGTTAGGCAGGGTTTAAAAAAAAAGCAAGTAAATGGCAGAGCAAGGTTCCATATTTTTTTAAATATATTTTTTATTGATTTTTTTACAGACAGGAAGGGAGATAGAGAGTTAGAAACACCGATGAGAGAGAAACATTGATCAGCTGCCTCCTGCACACTCCCTATTGGGTATGTGCCCGCAACCAAGGTACATGCCCTTGGCCGGAATCGAACCTGAGACTCTTGAGTCCGCAGGCCGATGCTCTATCCACTGAGCCAAACCGGTTAGGGTGCAAGGTTCCATATTCCAGTCATTTAACTACAAACCCAATACTCCATAAACTACTACACACACGTCCTTGTCACTCAGATGGACAAGATCAGTAGTGTTAAAAAATAATTGGTGTCAGAATCCATAAGAACCATGGAAATCATAATGTTGAAACCAAACTTCATCACTGAAAATACCATAAATTGGAAAGAACAGATAAGTCAAGTCTGCCTGCAGGTCATAGGGGGACAGATGATGTCTGCATGTCTGCCTTCAAAAATGCATTCTGAAGATAAGGGTGGAATCAGAAATTTTTCCCAGTACTCACTAGATTATGGGATCTCGGATCATTTTCTTTGCTCACTTCCCTGGTTCTGGTCCCAATTCTATTTCTAACTTCTGCTTTTTGAAGGGAAAAGCCTTGTTTCTAGGACTAGCAATGTTTTGCCGTGAGCCTAAAGGGTGGGAAGGGGCCAGAACACCTGGAGGACGAAGCATTAGCCTAAGAATCAGGGTCTCCATGCTGGATCACACAGTGGCCCAGGCTCAACCTTCCCAAGGAAGCAAACTTGTGAGAGGAAGAATGAATGGAAGGGCACTTGAAAGAGGTGACCTTTAAATCCAGAATCAGACTTGTGTAGATAACTTGCATTATGACTGGTGGTATCTACTAATGTGCATGAGGCAAAAAGGGAGGTGATTACCCAGAGTGATTGTTCTAATCTCCACCCTCCCCTATTTTCCCAGGGACCCCGACCCTGAAATGCATGTTGAATGGGTTGGGAAACAAGCTCTCCCATGGTGGTTGGAGTCCTGACGCTGTTCAAAGAGATCTTTTGACACTAAGACTGAGCGTCATCCTCTTTTCTTGCTTCTTATTGTTAGCTGCCTGCAGGCAGTCCTGAAGCAAAGGTGATCTACAGGACAGATGAGGAAGACTAATTTGTATCTTGGTTCCTCCTGAAAAGTTGGCTTATGTAAAGGAGCAGAGTGATTGCAAGACACACAGGCCCCATAACATAAAAGTGCAGTGCCCACTAATGCTACAAGTCACCTACGATTTTAAGTAGGATCACATAGATGAACACACTTTATTTCCTTTGAAGTGTTACACAAATTTAAGACATTTATTTGTTTTTAAGCATATTTTTATTGATTTCAGAGAGGAAGGGAGAAGGACAGAGAGATAGAAACATCAATGATGAGAAAGAATCATTGTCCGGCCACCTCCTGCACACCCCACACTGAGGATCGGGCTTTTGACATAGACCAGAAAGGAAAAACAAAAGTCCAAACTGCTAGGGGAGACTAGCATAGGGCCTCTGGTGGGGTCCTTAGAATGAACAGATCCAACTGTAAACTGCAGGGACCTGGCAGGTGGGGGTGGGTGGGCTAACTTCAGATCCTAGACCTATGCCCCAGTCTCCCAAGCTCTATCTCTGGCAAAGTATGTACAGCTTGGTTTGACTATTACCTTTTGGATGCAGCTATGTTGCTAACATCGCGTGTCTCCTTGGCTGTGATTTTGATGGCTTGTTGAGGAATCTCTTTTCAGTATAATGTCTGGTTAAAGCATTTTGTCAGTAACCACAGCCTTTGCATTGCTCCTTTGGTGGATGTTCTATGAGGAAGATGCTGATGTTCTGCTCTTTGTAACTGTGAAATCTGAACCTAATCTCTGCATTGGAATATCCAGTTGCCAAGTATAAATACTGGAATTGTAGCTAAGTATGTGGCAACTGGGGGGCTTTTCTGTCTCATACAAACATCATTCTAGAAATTAAAGAAATTTAACCACAACAATTTTTTTTAAAAAGGACTAACCTCTTTAAACTACCTATGCACAAATAAAAGTGAGGTTGAGAATGTTTTTCAGTAAATGCATATTGTATCCAAAGCTGGGTGCTCTGTAATGAGTGTGTTCCAGATGCAGGGGTAGAAACATGAGTGTGAGCTTTGGGTGTAGGTATGTTGGGCCACGTGCCTATGGTTGAGAGTGGCCCACCATGAGCAGTTCTATGTGGAGATATGTGTGCACACGGGGCTGTAAATAGCTTCCTTCAGTATGTATTAGTGGGTGTGTAGTTTGGTTTCTGGGCAGAGTACATGAGTTTGAACTGGCTGCTGACTGACCTATCTTTCGCTCGTACTCTGGTAAGACAGATTATGCTCACAAAAGCTATTCCTCAGAGAGCCAAACTCACTAAACTGGCTGCTCCCTGAATGAAAATAATTACTTTTGATAATGCACTGAAAAGGAAGTGAGAGGCAAGGGAAATAAGAATGAGAATGGCAGTGAGAAATTTTCAAATAGCTTTTGAATTCTCCTGGTTGGACATGTTCATTTTCAAGACCTTCTTCATTTCATCCTCACAAGGCTCTCTATTTTTTGCCCTATTTTTTATATTTTTCCTTCCATGTGGTCTTATGGAATTGTGGAAACTTTCTCAACTACCTTCCACCTTGCCTTTTTGGCTTACAAACTCAGTGAGATGGACTTTGCTGTCTTATTACTCATTGACTTCACAGATCCCTTGTTATATACAAACCCACAGATAATAATTTACCTTTCTTCTCTGCCAATTTTCTTCTGTGGGTTACTCCTCTGCTTACCTGGGCATCTGTCAACCAGCTACACACCTGTCTGTCTTTTTTTAAAAATATATATTTTATTGATTTTTTTTTACAGAGAGGAAGGGAGAGGGATAGAGAGAAACATCGATGAGAGAGGAACATCGATCAGCTGCCTCTTGCACACTCCCTACTGGGGATGTGCCCGCAACCAAGGTACATGCCCTTGACCGGAATTGAACCTGGGACCCTTCAGTCCGCAGGCCGACGCTCTATCCACTGAGCCAAACCGGTTAGGACACACCTGTCTGTCTTATAAGTTATAAGGAAATTATTTAACTGTCATCCCCCCAAACAAGGTCACGGGGCTGCAGGAATAGTGAAAAGGTGGTTTGGCTGGAGCTGAGAAACTTCTTTACCTAAAAGACTCTGCCTCAGTAGATAGCACTGTGGTTATTAATATCAATAATAAATCACAACATGTAATGAGGCTAATGTAACATGTATAATATCATATAAGCTACTATTCTAATTTTTTAAAAAATATATTTTATTGATTTTTTTACAGAGAGGAGGTTGAGAGGGATAGAGAGTTAGAAACATCGATGAGAGAGAAACAGCAATCAGCTGCCTCCTCCACACCCCCCACTGGGGATGTGCCCGCAACCAAGGTACATGCCCTTGACCGGAATCGAACCTGGGACCCTTCAGTCCGCAGGCCGAAACTGTATCCACTGAGCCAAACCAGTTAGGGCTAAAATTCTAGTTTTTAAAATTCTGCCTTGTTATCAAATGACTACAAAAGTAGACCACTCACTTAGGATTAGCTAAACAGTGGAAAATAAGCATATTTTCTTTCAGATCAATCAGAATTAAATAAGTAGGCTTTGCCGACCATAGAGCCAGGGGAGATTCTTGTTAACAAAAATAAAGTTTGTAGATATATGGGAGGGTGGTAACTGCCAGTTCTTTTCAGAAAGAAAGATCCAGGATACTGGAGGAGTCATTTCAAATATATACTTGTTATACAGAATTAAAAGTGATTCACATGAAGAATCTCTATTGTAACTATAATGTACTTGAAGGAGAACTGGGAACTGTACAAATGGAGAAGGATGAGTTGAAAGAAAGATTTTTATGTTATATTATTTTATGTTTTTACTTTTGAAAAATAGAGATATATTTCCTTTTTGTTTAAAAGGGAGAGAGAGAAAGAGAAGTTGGCTTCATACTGACATTCTCTTGAATCTATATACTGGTAAGAATGAGTGTCTGTGTTTATCTGTATATGGTGGGCAGGGGAAGCTCTTTGGAGCTTGGAGAGTTGCAGAATTGAATAGGTTTTATTGATAAATGCTGATTGTTCATTGGTTGTGAAGGAAAGCAAATGCACAACTCTTCTCTCTTGAAATCTGCTGTTTATTCATTGCCTTCATTAGCATTGTATAAAAATGAAGTGAAATACAGGGTGGGGCAAAGGTAGGTTTACAGCTTTGAGTACACAAAACACAGTTTATTCTTGTATTGTTATTTATTAATTATTGTATCATTTTCCATATGAACAATTGTAAACCTTCTTTTGCCACACCCTGTATTTTATTTTAAAATTAAATGAAAAAGAACATTAGACCTGCTTGGGGACTATAGAGGAGGTAGATCTCCCCCTCATAACTCATGTACTTGAGCACTAGAGCAGGATCTTGGGTAGGAAGGGAGCCTTCAAAAATATTTTGAGAAACAATGACATGAAAAGGTAAGAGATCAGAGTTGTACTTGGTATATAAAAGAGAAAAATGGTAGGAAAAGAATAAAATTCTTGCTCTGGCTGGATAACTCAGCTGGTTGGAGTGTTGTCCCCATATGCCAAGGTTGAGGTCTCTGCACACATAAGAATCAACCAATGAATGCACAAATAAGTGGAACGTCAAATCAATGTCTTCTCTCACTCTCTCTCTCTCTTTCTCTCTCTCTCTCTCGCTCTCTCTTTCTCCCCCCCCCCTCTGTATAAAAATAAATAACTAAATAAAATAAAAGAATAAAATTCTTGCTCTGGCTGGATAACTCAGCTGGTTGGAGTGTTGTCCCCACATGCCAAGGTTGAGGTCTCTGCACACATCACATTCAACCAATGAATGCAGAAATAAGTGGAACGTCAGATCAATGTCTTCTCTCTCTCTCTCTCGCTCTCTCTTTCTCCCCCCCCCCTCTGTATAAAAATAAATAACTAAATAAAATAAAAGAATAAAATTCTTGCTCTGGCTGGATAACTCAGCTGGTTGGAGTGTTGTCCCCACATGCCAAGGTTGAGGTCTCTGCACACATCACATTCAACCAATGAATGCAGAAATAAGTGGAACGTCAGATCAATGTCTTCTCTCTCTCTCTCTCGCTCTCTCTTTCTCCCCCCCCCCTCTGTATAAAAATAAATAACTAAATAAAATAAAAGAATAAAATTCTTGCTCTGGCTGGATAACTCAGCTGGTTGGAGTGTTGTCCCCACATGCCAAGGTTGAGGTCTCTGCACACATCACATTCAACCAATGAATGCAGAAATAAGTGGAACGTCAGATCAATGTCTTCTCTCTCTCTCTCTCGCTCTCTCTTTCTCCCCCCCCCCTCTGTATAAAAATAAATAACTAAATAAAATAAAAGAATAAAATTCTTGCTCTGGCTGGATAACTCAGCTGGTTGGAGTGTTGTCCCCACATGCCAAGGTTGAGGTCTCTGCACACATCACATTCAACCAATGAATGCAGAAATAAGTGGAACGTCAGATCAATGTCTTCTCTCTCTCTCTCTCGCTCTCTCTTTCTCCCCCCCCCCTCTGTATAAAAATAAATAACTAAATAAAATAAAAGAATAAAATTCTTGCTCTGGCTGGATAACTCAGCTGGTTGGAGTGTTGTCCCCACATGCCAAGGTTGAGGTCTCTGCACACATCACATTCAACCAATGAATGCAGAAATAAGTGGAACGTCAGATCAATGTCTTCTCTCTCTCTCTCTCGCTCTCTCTTTCTCCCCCCCCCCTCTGTATAAAAATAAATAACTAAATAAAATAAAAGAATAAAATTCTTGCTCTGGCTGGATAACTCAGCTGGTTGGAGTGTTGTCCCCACATGCCAAGGTTGAGGTCTCTGCACACATCACATTCAACCAATGAATGCAGAAATAAGTGGAACGTCAGATCAATGTCTTCTCTCTCTCTCTCTCGCTCTCTCTTTCTCCCCCCCCCCTCTGTATAAAAATAAATAACTAAATAAAATAAAAGAATAAAATTCTTGCTCTGGCTGGATAACTCAGCTGGTTGGAGTGTTGTCCCCACATGCCAAGGTTGAGGTCTCTGCACACATCACATTCAACCAATGAATGCAGAAATAAGTGGAACGTCAGATCAATGTCTTCTCTCTCTCTCTCTCGCTCTCTCTTTCTCCCCCCCCCCTCTGTATAAAAATAAATAACTAAATAAAATAAAAGAATAAAATTCTTGCTCTGGCTGGATAACTCAGCTGGTTGGAGTGTTGTCCCCACATGCCAAGGTTGAGGTCTCTGCACACATCACATTCAACCAATGAATGCAGAAATAAGTGGAACGTCAGATCAATGTCTTCTCTCTCTCTCTCTCGCTCTCTCTTTCTCCCCCCCCCCTCTGTATAAAAATAAATAACTAAATAAAATAAAAGAATAAAATTCTTGCTCTGGCTGGATAACTCAGCTGGTTGGAGTGTTGTCCCCACATGCCAAGGTTGAGGTCTCTGCACACATCACATTCAACCAATGAATGCAGAAATAAGTGGAACGTCAGATCAATGTCTTCTCTCTCTCTCTCTCGCTCTCTCTTTCTCCCCCCCCCATCTGTATAAAAATAAATAAATAAATAAAATAAAAGAATAAAATTCTTCCTGCCTGAATATCAGGGACATTGACAGAGATGGATGTATGGCTCAGAGAGTTCCAGGTAGCCATGTATTTAGTATCTAGTGATCTGTAGATGTGTTTTAAAGTTCTCTGTGTGCTCCATTTTATTTCTTTCAGAACGACTCAATCCTTGTGAATTATTCTCAGCCATGTTCTGTGCATTCTCTGTGGATCAAGCGTAGGAGTGGACAGCTGTGTGGCAATGGGAGAGGAGAAGGCCATGACACAAATGCTAAAGGAATGCAGTCTCAGTGACAAATTGTGTAGTAAGTACACATGTTTATATTCTTCTCTTAGAATAATGAAGACTAAAGTCTGGATAGATTCTAGGAGGAGAATAATTTGATTTGTAGTAGAAATGAAGACGGTATTGATAAAGAAATGGACAATAGAGGCCATTGTTTTAAAAAATGGCGAGGGCCAATCAGAGATGCAGATGCCGCATTCTTCATCTCAATAGGAAAAATAAGAGAAGAGGCACAGAGCACACTTGCTGGGCTAAGAAAGAGGGACATGGGCGGTTCTGATGAGAGAGTTGCTCCCAATAGGGTTTCCATTGGATGAAAGTGGAGTGGAAGAAAGAGATGACCATTTATGTCTGATGAGCTGAGGACTGGTGGGTAGGGGAACTTGTGTAGACATCAGGCTAGGCTTCTTCTTTAATCACTTTTCTTTCTGTTTAATTTCCTACCCAGTTGTCTGGCACCAGCAGTATGAAATCATCATCATCCCAGCCTTTCTGGTTGGTGCCACCCTCATCATTCTTGGGGTCATCCTGTGGCTTTTTATCAGAGAACAAAGAGCTCAACAACAGTCTCCTGGACTCCAAGGTAAAGCTAAAACTGGGGCTGGACAGAAGCTCAGGGAAGATAGAGATTGCAGAAAAATAAAACCCAAGTCTCAATGGGTCCAAGTCTAGAAGTCTAGGTTCCTGCAATGGAAAAGGAGGCCGGGTCCCCTCCTGTGGAGTTGAGAGACAGGAGGAAGTAGAGGACTCATGAGTAGAAACTCCACATATGCTTATTAGCTGAAAGCAGAACAGGCAAGAGAGGCCTCATGTGACCTGTCCCCGTCCTCTTGGTCTTATTCAGCTGTGGGCAAACTATGGCCCGCGGGCCGGATCCGGCCTGTTTGAAATTAATAAAACTAAAAAAAAAAAAAAAAAAAGACCGTACCCTTTTATGTAATGATGTTTACTTTGAATTTATATTAGTCCACACAAACACTCCATCCATGCTTTTGTTCCGGCCCTCCGGTCCAGTTTAAGAACCCACTGTGGCCCTCGAGTCAAAAAGTTTGCCCACCCCTGGTTATTGCACTATCAAATGACCACATTAATGTCTAAGGATCTGGGAGAAAAACCTAGTAGGTTTTGTTACCAGCTTTGAAGGATGACATCTTACTCTCTAATACATTCCAGCCCTACTCTGTGTCCCTGGAATATATGATGAAAAGGGGTAGCTTTCATAATAGTCTTTGAAGTGCTAGGTAGGAGATGATATCACGCAGTTCTAGAGTACCACTGAGCATATAATGAAAAATAATCAGCTAGTACATGAAACTAAGAGTAAAAATAAGGGAAAAATCTGACAGCAATATGAGACTTCATAGTGGCTAATCCCTAATCCCGCTCCAAATTTTACCCCAAGTCTCTTATAATTCATTCTTTTAGAAAACCTTTTCAAATAAATTGTTTCAATTCACTCTCGAGAAGGCCAGTTACCCTTCAATTCCCAGTCAGCACATGCCCAGTTTGCAGGCTCAATTCCCAACAGGGGGCCTACAGGAGGCAGCTGCAAAATGATTCTCTCTCTCATCATTGATGTTTCTCTCTCTCTGTGAAATCAATAGAAAACATACAAAAACCCCTACCATATATTGCCCTGGCTGTTGCTGCTCAGTGGATAGAGTGTCAGCCCTCACACCAAAGGGTTATGAGTTTGATTCCTAATCAAGGACATACACCTGGGTTGTAGGTTCAATCCCTGACCTCAGTCAGGGTGCATGTGGGAGGCAACCAATCGATGTGTGTCTCTCTTACATTGATGTTTCTCTCTCCCCCGATCTCTCTCCAAACCTCCTTTTTCTCTAAAAATCAATGAGAAAAATATCCTTGGGTGAGGATATTTTAACCAAAAATAAAACAAAAAAACCTAAACTCACTCTCACTAACACTTGTTACATTCTCTTTTGAATATACTGAAATATGGCTTTCAACCACACCACTCCACCAAAACAACTCATTCCAAGATCACCAGTGACTGCTGTGTTGAGTCCTCATCTTATTTGACCTGCTGAAAACATTTGAACCAATTTTGTACTCCTGTCTTCTTGAAACACTTTTTTTCTTTAAATCTCCAGTCACTTTCTAAATGATCTAATTTTAAGTCTATAGATTCAAATGCTTTCTCTATTTAATTATAGTCCCCCTTGAATCCAGATTCGTATATCAAATCAACCATCTTGCAGTTGGACTCGAATACACATCTCAGATGTAATATGTCCAAAGCAAAGATTCTGACATTCCCTCACAAAATATCCTCTGCCAATAGTCTTCCCCTATCTTAGTAAAAGGCAGTCCCAGATTTCTACACGTTCAGTCTAAAATATTAAAGGTTTTCATCCAGTCCATTAGGAATTCCTTTAACTCTATCTTCAAAATAACTTATACTGCTCTCACCTCTCATAGACTATTGTAATACATGCCTAACTGGTTTCCTTGCTTCTAATCCTATCCCTTTATGGTGCATTCTCCTCAGAGTAGCAGAATGATTCTTTTACAGTGTAAGTCAGTCCGGTCAATTCTCTGCTTGGAAACTCCCCAATAGCTTCCCATCACAGAATGAAAAAAGACAAAATTCTTTCAATAGTCCTACATGATCTGGGCCCTCTCTGGCCTTTTCTCCTATAATTCTCCAGTTATTCCACTTGATTCCACTGCACTGACTTCATTCCTCTTCCTCCAGTATGCCATATGCTCCTTCTTCAATACCTTTGTACTTCCTGATCCCTTTGTCTATAATACCCTTCCTGATACTGGGATATAGTTTACTCTCTTATTGCTTCCAGGGTATTTCACATACATCATCACAAAGGCCTTTTCTGACCTTTAAACATGAAATAGACTCATTGATGCTCTGTTTCCTCCATAGCACTCAAAACCTGGTATGTTATTATCTGCTTCCTCTCTCCTACCACTAAAAAATAATCTTCATAAGAATCTGGACTTTATTCCAAAGCTACAACAGTGCTTGGCATGTAGGAGGTGATATTTGTTGAATAAATGAATGAATGAATGAAGATTTAATACAAAGAATGTATCTCTCTATTCCAATAGAGAAAAGTTGACTAAGGAAGGAAGAAAGTACCAGAATACTTTTTGAATAAAACTAAAAAGTATGGAATAACATGACCCTGAGCACAATATGATGGTGGAAGAACAGCCATAACTTAGAGTTAAGTAGTTAGTCATACCTCCCCTTTACCTTTGGGAGCCATTTGATTGACTTAAATGATATTCCCCACTGGCAGTTACCACCACCTTTAGGTATCTGTGGTTTTAAATATGTTTTTTATTGACTTCAGAGAGAGGAAGGGAGAGGGAGAGAGAGATAAAAACATCAATTGATAAATCATCAATTGGCTACCTCCTGCATGCCTCACACTGGGGATGGAACTTGCAACTAGGGCATGTGCCCTGACTGGGAATCGAATGGTGACCTCCTAGTTCATGGATTGATGCTTAACCACTGAGCAACACCAGCTGGGTTAGGTATCTGTGGTTTTAATACCTATTTAGGAACTTCCTCAATTGTCTCCATATTACATTTATATTGAACTGTGATCCTGAGAAACACAGAAAAGAAATGCCATTACCACTTTCCAGAGGACATCTGGGGTTGTCTTAGAAGTAATAGAATTACTATAAAAGTTCTAAACGTTGATATTGATGCTGGTTCACAGAGAAGCATCAGATAATATCCCCACAATGGGTGGCAAAAAAATTATTAAAGGAACTTTCTTTCCAGTTTGTTCCAAGCTCTGCTTTCCTGGAGTTTGGAGGGTACGAAAAAGCTGGTTGGTATCATCTCTTTGTTCTAGGCATTGCTCCTGTGCCTCCATTTAGGGGCCAAAACGGGGAAGCAGGAGGACATGAAGGAAGTGTATTTGTGCCACTTAAGGAGACATCAGTGGAAAGCCTTCTACAAACATCCACACATGCCCTGGCTAAGCTGCAGATACCCCGGGAGCAACTCTCTGAAGTTCTGGAGTGGATCTACAATGGTAGTTGTGGGGCCATCTATCGAACCAAGATGTACCCTGGGGACCCAGCTAAGTCCAAGGACATTGTCCTCAAGGTTTTAAAAGGTAAAAGGAGAAGTGTTAGACTTCTTATTTCCCTTTTTAACTTTCTCCTGTGAGCACCCCTAACAGTAAATGCTAATGGGCTTTGCAGACATTAAGATGTTAATCAATAGATAGTTGTGATCACAATTGTGTTCAGAATAAGAAGAGCTGAGTTGAGAAGAAATTCAGCTTTTAAGCTTTTGTACCTCAAACTCAAGAAGGGATTAGAAAGTGAAAACCCAAGACAAATGTTTTCTTGGGGCCTTTCTTTCCCATAGCTCAACCTTGCCTATCAAGACTGTTACTTGGATGAGGATGTTGAGGTTGATTCTTCATTTTTCTCCACTATATCTCTTACCCTGACAGCACTGTATTTATTTTCTTTAGTCCTTTTTTTTTTCTGATGCTCATAATATGGACATGTAATGGTGGATGCATAGAACAAAGTTAGAATAAACAAAATTACTAATCCAAAGGCCTAGACTGGATAACATTTTAATGTGAACACACTTGCCCATTTAGGGAGATGAAAGCTTACCTAGTTGTAATACCTGTAATTCTGTTACCTTTGACAAAAGATCAGTGAGAATCATCGTCTAATTGGTTCCCTTTCTGTTTACTTTTTGTCTATAGTCACTTCCCTTTAGAACCTTGAGAATTTTCATCTCAGGTTGCTTCCTGAGGCAAACTTCCCATTTTCTCTGAAATGTTCTGACCACTGCCCATGGCTCTTCTGTTCTCCACAGAACCAGCCAGGCTCTGTGAGATACAGGATTTCTTAGGGCGAATCCAATTCTATCAGCACCTGGGGAAGCACCAAAACCTGGTACAGCTGGAAGGCTGCTGCACAGAAAGGGAGCCGCTCTATATGGTGTTGGAGGATGTCGCCCAGGGGGACCTGCTCAACTTTCTCTGGACCTGTCGCCGGGTAAGCGGAAGGGTAGACGTGGTAGAAAGGAAAGGCTTTCCCTGGCTGATTAGCTGTTCACATGGCTATGAGCCTGACATGTGACAAAGTAGAGAGACATTATAATAGCATAACAGAGTGATTGAGTATCACCATCCAATGGAACGTTTTATGATAGCAATGTTTTATATCTGCCCTGTCCCATATGGTAGACCCTAATCACGTGTGGCTAGGGAACACTTGAAATGTGACTGATGTGACTGAGAAACTGAATTTTTAGTTTTATTTCATTTAAAGTGATACGCATGTAAATAGCCACAGGTGTCCAATGGCTACCATTTTGGGCAGTGGGAATTTAGAGTATGGACTTTAGATTCCACTTCCTACTAGCTATGTGAATTTGGGCAAGCCACCTCTCTCAGACTGAGTTTTCTGAATCTGAATCTGTAAAATGGGAGTAATAATAAAAGAAATTATGTATGTAAAAACACAGCAGTGATTGGTATATAGCAAACACTCAAAATGGTAGCTGTTAATAGTGATAATTGCATAACAACATAACTGTCTAGTATTGATTGTAATTTTGTTGTTGTTATTGTTAAGTGTGTTTTCCGTAACATTCCGTAACATCATCCTAGTATGCAGGGCTGAGTTGAGGAGAAATTCAGCTTGTAAGTTTTTGAACCTCAAACTCATATTTTAAAAAATTAATTTCCAGACTAAAGTGCAAATCATTTTCTTTAGTTTTCCTACTTGTCTATGTATTCCTCTTTCTCAAGCACTATACATTTCCATGGTTAGTTCTTTACTTGCCAATGAGCAAGTTCAATATTAAATAAGCCTCTTCAATGTGTTTATTTTACTACTAAATGTGTACGAAAAAGGGACCCTGGTGGCATCGTCCATCCAGTGATACAAATAGGACAATGTGCAGGTCTCTAGTATTTAAAACCATTTAAAGAATTTATCTTGTTTTATGCTCTAACCTCTCTAGCTCTTTTCTGTTTTTCAAAATTGCTCTGCTTCTCTATTTTAGATCACCACTCATGTTTTTCTCATTACACCAAACTTCTCCCTTCTTTGCATAGTCAATGGCCACTCATCTTTCAGATTTCATAAAAAAATGTCCTTGTCCCCCAACTGAATCTGCTCTCTTTCCCCCACCATCATATGCTTTCTTTTACATTTCCTTCATGGTGCTTATAGATATGTAATTACACATTTATATGTGATTATTTTATTCTGATTCATATGTGTTTGCCATGCTATAAACTCCAGAAGGCAACAGACATGTTTATTTTGTTCACTCTTATATTCTGTGTTCCTAAGACGAAATCTGGCACATAGTAGGCATTCAATAAAAATGTGTTGAGTTAATATGCTTAATTAATCACACACACACACACACACACACGAAAGTTGATGCTTTATCCAATGGATAAAGCATATACTTGTCTTTCTTACCTGCTATTCTGTTCTTCCTTCATTCTTCTATTATCTACATTCTTTATTATTTTTTCCAGTCCAATAAATCATTGTATTTCTCTTTATATTTGAGAATCTCTAATATCATCTATCCTTGAATCTTATAGTTCTATGTTTGTTTTCTTAACTTTGCTATCTGTATTTAAGAATATCTCTGCTCATATATTTTTTTCAAATCTGTTCATGTCATTTTGATATAATGCTTTTTTTCTGTCTCTGTAGGATGTGATGACCATGGATGGACTTCTCTATGATCTCACTGAAAAACAAATATATCACATTGGGAAGCAGGTTCTATTGGCTTTGGTAAGCTGAGCAAAATGATAACAGATAGTAGGGATTTTCTTGTTAACTTGGTATTTGATGTCATATTTTTTAATATTTATATTTCTAAAGAAAATCAGATGGAAGTTAGGGGACAGAAACTCAAGCACAGAAAAATTATTTTCAGTTCTTTATGAAAGAATTTAGATCATATACTAGGTATGATCAGGACTGGTAATTCTGGGCAGAAATTAGTCAATTTAGGGTTTTTAAACATAACAATAGTAAGGGTTTTAAAGGGTTTCTCAGAATTCAAAAGCCAGGGCTAAGAGCTTTATGTCCGCTTGCTTAATACTTTTACTTCCCCGTATATACTAATATTAATAGATGTAAAAGGGGCAAATAGGGAAGCAAATTGGGAGAAAAAATGAGAAGATTAAACTGAATGGGTAAAAGGCTACAGAACCAGAAAGAAGTATACCATTTTATACCTGAAAAACAAGAAATACTAGTTCAGAACATGTTTTGTTGGAGACTTGCTTTGATACTGAATGTGATAGGAAATACATATACTTTAAAAAGAAGGAACAAGTGGAAGAGGAGGAATAAAAAGGGGCAATAGTGAGATCATTCCTTTATTTTAAACCAACTCAAAGAGGTGAGACAATAAATATTTTAAAAATTAATACATAGTAATAAAGAATTTAAAAAACAGGTAAGAGAAAGAACTCAGGGTTTAAGAGAAAAAATTTATCTTTACCATAATTACTCAGGGAAATTTAGATGACTATGTCTATGAAATTATTTAAATAATTTTATTTAAAATAGCATTTGTTATAGAAAACCAGGCTCTGTGAAGCTTCCACTTTCAGGTTTTTTTTTAATGTATCTTGCCATCCAGATGTGTGAAATATACCAGGTATCTAAATGGAATAAGGGAAAGCTTAGAAAAAAAGTAGTGAGATGAAAAAAGAGCAGAGTTAAAATTGAAGTTCCTATGGGACAGGGGAGAGAGAACATCACATTAATGAATATTATCTCTGGTTTTGGAGGGCCTAATTGGTATAGTTCCTTGATAAAATTAGGGTGTCAGGATACAGCCTACCTTGTATTCTAAGCCATAATTGCAGAGGTGCCCCAGTGAGATGCATTGATTCTATGGCTGCATTCATCAGGGCTCTAGGTTACCAGTTATAAGATAATAAAAATTACTTTTCACAACCTCAAAGTTACTACATTCTTTAATTCTTGTCATTATAGTTTAACTTATTTGTTCTAAAACTCCACCAGAGAGGGGGTAGGGGTAGATGGAGGTGGAAAATGATACAGCGGGGAGGGGTAAATGACTATGGAAAAGAAATAAAACTCCACCAAAGACAGAACAATTGCTAGTCACTATTTCCTTCATCATCAATGATTGGGAATTACCACCTTAATCTTTTATTTTTTCATACCATCTCGTTTGATAGTGATATACCTCAATCTCCAGCTTTTCGGTTATGTATTTTTTCAACTTCTTCATAAGCCTTGAATACCTTGTTATTGGGGCAGATGATTCCAGCAAACCAATGTCATCCTAGTGCAATGGTTCTCAAATGCCTTGTTGGCATTAAACCCAGTATTAATGTTATTTGGATTATTTGCTCAGTTTGGTAATCCTAAACACTTTCCCCCCACAAAATAGAGATTTATTTACTAAGAATTATTTAGTTTTTGTATAAAAATCACCAATTGTTCCTCATTGTTTTTTTTGTTTTTGTTTTTGTTTGTTTGTTTGTTTGTTTTTACAGAGAGGAAGGGAGAGGGATAGAGAGTTAGAAACATCGATGAAAGAGAAACATCAATCAGCTGCCTCCTGCACACTCCCCACTGGGGATGTGCCCGCAACCAAGGTACATGCCCTTGACTGGAATTGAATCTGGGACCCTTGAGTCCTCAAGCCGAGGCTCTATCCACAGAGCCAAACCAGTCAGGGACTCATTGGGTTTTTAACACACATCCGTTCTTTCGGGATTCTTCTATTCACCCCAACACTTTTAAAAATACAGCTCTTGTTAGCACCAGGAGGGACAGTTAAGGCAGCGAGGTGTTTCCTTGGGTCTCAGCATCTGGAGGGCTCATGGTTTTCCCCTTGAGAGAATATACATAGAAGGTGCTTTCTTAGGTTGAAAAGGCTGTCCCTGACGAAAACCATTATGCAAATTCAGTTATCCCTGGTCAATTATTTGTACCAGATAGCTTTAAAATAAAGTCCCTTTGGTCATAGTCATCAAAGGCTTGCTGTTTGTTTTCAACTGTGAAAAACTGTCTGGAAAAAGACAGTAGGAAAGAGCAGGGTCGATAATGACAGTGCTGTGAGGCTGGGCTGTGCAACCACCTGAGAGGACACAGTAGTTTGCTTTAAAAAAAAATCCCACAATCGGGGTCCTGTATAATTTCAAATCAAATTCCTCCTTGTCCTTAAACTACCCAAAACATCACTGCACCAGATCCTCATTTTTAAAGTGAGGTATACGTCCTCAGAGTCATGCACCATCTCGGGGGTGGGGACAAAAAACCCTAGGTCTTGATTTATTAGAAACATTAATTGCTTTCTACCACACTGAAATGAAGGTATAGTCTGTCTGTGCTGTTGTGAAATTCAAAAGTGATTCAGAAGTAGGATAGTTATTGTTCCATTAGGATAGATCCCAAAAATGACTTTTCAGAAACCAGGGCTGTCTTCCGCAGACCCCAGCCAGACTCTGGCTGCTCTGGGGGATGCAGGCCAAGGGCAGCCTGGCAGCTAGATTCGCAGTGAATCTGGTTTGTCTGTTTCTGTGAACAGCCACATGTGGGGCGGCGGGTGGCCCAGATGTGCCCTCCGCTGGGCACGACTACACCTTGTCATTGAGACCAGGGTTCATCCTGGTGACATCTCCTAGGTGATTTCAGTGGTGGCCCTGTAGTTGACCAGGAAAAGGCAGACCTTCTCCAGGCACTCCTCCTCCCTCATGTCTGGCCCTTGGCGAGCGCTTTCAGCAAGTCGGACTTATGGGATGTTGCATACAGTGCTGCCTGGAAGATCTTCTGCGAGATCCAGCTGTGATGCTTCCTGAGGGCCATCTCCTAAGCTTTGGTGGCATTGATGTGGATGAAGTTGGGGTGGTTCTCAGCCCATTCCCCATCACAGATCTGGAGGAAGATCTGGATGAAGCGGAGGTCTCTTCAGCCACATCAGCACTAGCCTAGCCCCACTTTGGGCCACTCTGCTCCATACATTTCCTTATTTGCCCTCAGGATGTTCCATATGGTCCAGAACGTGGCCAGTCAGTGTCAATCACAGCTTTAAATTTCATAATGTTGACACTTAGGTCTGCCTTGATGGGTGTAAACACTGTGAACTCAAGGCAATCAAAGAAGGGTGGCAGGTGGGACAGCACCTAGAGGAAGGGCCCCATCTCAATCTGCTTGTCCTTAGGCAGTGGCTTCAGCAGGTGCTCAGCCAGCAGCACCATTTCAGGGCCAAAGCCAGTGATGATGCCCCAGCCGGCGCCATGGGTGTCCATGCCCCCTCTCCCCGCCCCAGCTATCGCTGTCAACGCTGGGGACGTCACTGCTGCTGCAGCCAGAGACTCTGGGGAAGCCCTCACGTGGAGCCAATCCTAAACAATTTTATAACTAAAAACCAAGAAATATTAGTTTAGAACATGTTTGGTTGAATTTGTAAAATGTCTGACGCATTATCATGACCTGAAAGTGATATAAAAATGTTAGAGAGACTTGCTTGGAATAGAAAATGTATTTATCTTTTTGATGATCCCTAGCACTGCTTCTCCTTGGGTGTGATCCAAGCCGTGACCTCAGACAGCTGAATTACCTTTGATCTTAAATTGATAGGAATTTCTTCAGGATAAACATCTGTTCCATGGGGATGTGGCAGCCAGAAATATTCTGATCCAATGTGACCTTACCGCTAAGCTCTGTGGACTGGGCCTGGCTTATGAAGTTCACACCCAAGGGGCTATCACCTCTACTCGCACTGTGCCCCTCAAGTGGCTTGCCCCAGAAAGGCTACTGCTGAGACCAGCTGACATCAGAGGAGACATGTACGGTTTGTTCCTGCCCTTGGGATTTCTTCCCTTCTTGACCTGAGTGTCCTCTAGTCCCTGACCATGACAGCGTCTGTTGTCAATTATGTTTACTTAGAAGTCAGACAGACTCTCAAGCAGAAATATGTATTATGTGACAGAGCTCGTATTTGGCATCTGGCTGCAATCTTTTTTAATGCCTTTCGAATTATTCCTTTGGTATTAGATTAGAAACCTTAATTAGAAAAGCAAAAAGAAAAATGAAAAGATTGTTTATACTGATATCTAGTAGACTCCTTTTAATTTGAAGGACATGGGTCCACTTAATCAAAAGTTCAGTTAAACCAAGAATTATTAAAGTAAAAAGAAATATACATATATGCCTCAAATAATTTATTTTAACTAAAACATATAAGTGGATATATATTGATTGATCTTTTGGAGAAGGGTCAAGACCTTTTTCATGAGGATGGACCTGCTAAATAATGTTACATGTTGTTTCTTGTATGAATAGTATCTGTCATAAATTATTTTTGAGTTTCAGTTTGAATTCTGAGTGAGAAACTTGAAAAACAGTTGTGAAACAACTTGACCACAGGCATTTATTGTTATTTTTCCTAATTTTTTTACATTTGTGTCACCCACACAATTTGATACCACTTTCTTTTTAGCAGCTTATTTTTACAGAATATTTTCAAAGCATTCAGCCTACTTTTCAGGGAGCTGATATTTTTTGCATTCATATTTAATTAGCTTGCATAATATTTAATTGATTACATAATTATAGCTACATGTATGATTGGTATAAATAGGACTGTAAAGAATCACAATTGAATTTTGATAACCATATAACTCAACTGCTTGGAGAAGTACATCGGTGTAAGATGGACTATCTTACTACCCATGAATGTCATGAGCAGCAGAGAAAATGTAGAATGTCAGTTAATATGGTAAGTCAATGAAGAGACTTCCATTGCTGCTTCACAGACATCGGCTTCTCAACAGAAGTCTGGGAGCAATACGCTGAACCGGGAAACACTACTCATTGAATGATGGCGTTATAGAACAGTGAAATATACATCTCTCAAATTATGTTGCATAAGGAAATATGTATTCTATGTATAAAGCTTGTTCTGTGAATGTTTTTCCTAGGTTTGGTCAATTAGATATACTGAGGAAAGTAGATAAATGATAACCCTCACTTGGTCTTATGCTAAAAATAAAGGCTGGAATTTCAGCGGGAAGGAATGAAAAGGATGAAAAATATGCTGAGGGGAATTTCTTTAGGTTTGGGTGAGAATGTGTTTGCATAAACACACCCATAATTTAGCCAATGAGAGTAAATATCTGTTAATATGAAATATAGAAAAAAGTAGACATGAATCCAGTCCTCAAAGGGATTACACTCTAAGGGGATTGGATAGAAATGCTTTCAAATGGCACTCTTACTTGGCTTATTTTATCAGACACTCTGTTCCATTACTTTGCCTTCTTTATTTAACATCTGAAGGCCTCCGATGTTTAAGTGAGTTCTCTTTAGGAAAGGAAAAACAGAGATTAATTAAATGACTTTGTTTCTTTTATAGCTGGTCCTTTGGTATCCTGCTTTATGAGATGGTGACTCTAGGTATGTACCTGTATGCGAGTAGGTTTGAGTGATGCGTGACATATTCTATGAGAAGGGGTTTCAGTTGAATCTCTGAGGTTTAAACTTGGCTGACATGAAATCCTTCTACTCCTTTTAATTTTTTTTTTTTTGCTTTTTTTCTCTTTTCCTCAACACTTTACCAATTCCAAGGATATTTTAAAATCCAAAGGATAAAGGATAACCCCAAGAGTGATCTTGCATAAACATAAAAATGTTGTCTTTAGATTTATAGTTTGTATTCTAGAGGACCTAACGTTCTCTTGCTACTCTCATGCTTTCTCTACCAACAGGGGCACCACCATATCCTGAAGTCCCTCCTGTCAGCATTCTACAGCATCTGCAAAGGGGGAAGATCATGAAGAGACCCAGTAGCTGCACCCAAACCATGTAAGTGGCTTTTAAGGCTTACTCTTCTCTCATTCCAAATCTTTTATTGCTCCCTATTAATCATGCCCTTTTCAGAGATCATCCCCAGCTGTCCTTTATGTGCTAATGTACATCCCTATATCAAACTTATGCAGGAAAACACACCTGCTCATATGTCATATATATCATATGTACATATGTATGTGTGTGTGTGTATACACGCACACACCATGTTGAGGCAACCACTGAGAACTCTGTTAGGAATCCAAGTTTGGTTTAGTTCCTCTAAGCTTCCAAAATAGGTACGAAGCAGACCAAATACAATGCAAATACAGTAGGGTTTTACTTGTCTAAATGTCAGTCTCAGTCAGAAACTGCCAGCCTTAGGTCTAATATAGCTGTCATAAAATCCATTGCACCAGAGTTATTCATTGGCTCTTATTTAGTATTTAACTTTTAAAAATTATTGACTATTTGTTTTTCCAGCTCTAAGCACATTAGAAGTCAACCAGTAGAAGGAGGTAGGAGGAAATTTTAAAGACAGGAGAAGGAGGATCCAATATTGCCAGCAGAATGGGATAACTGGTGAACCATGTAGGCGCAAAAAAAAAAAAAAAAAAAAAAAAAAAATAATAAAAATTACAAAAAATTACACTCAAAATTTTATGACTAATAAAGTACAAAAAGGGATAGTTATAGAACATACAAAATGGTTAAATTATTTATAACAAGGCAGGAGAGAATATAATATACTTACATCTCCATGACAATTTTTGCTATTTTGTAAAATCTTCAGCACTAAATGGTAAATTCCAAGTAATCATTTACTGTATCAAGCAGATTATAAATGTTAACTATCATAACTACAAATATCCACAGTATTGTGATACTGGCTGGGTATACTAGAATAAAATTTCTGACAAATATTTCTTGCAGGCTTTCTATATATAAAAGGCTCTCTTTGATACTGGGGGGAGACACTTAACTGATAAGATCACTACTTGAAGAATTTAACATTGGATGAGGAGATATCTGAAACCAAAAGCTCAGAGTCATCTCTGAGTCAAAAAGACACAAGTTCAGTGCTAATCCTGCTACTTTACCATATATTATTTACTTATTTTGAGATAGGGATAATGATAATCCTACCTCAAAGTTATTGTGAGACTAAAATGAAATGATGCATGCTAAGTTCCACTCCAATGTCTTATATTAGTCAGCTCTTGGTAAATGCTAGCAGTATTATTAAAGTAGCATCTTTTACAAAGTCTCATGGTTCAACATTAACAAGTGTGGGAAATACAGAGGGCACTGAGGTTTATAAGGGAAACCTTCACAGAGGAATTGAGATTTAAAACCATAGGAAATGATGACCACAGAGAGCATATTCAAGGAGTTGGGCACAACATGTGCAAAGACAGAGTTGGGTATTGATAACCTCATCTATGGCACAGGGAGACACTGACTTGGCTGGAGGAGAGGGCTTCAGTTAGGCAAGGCCTATGTGGTAGAGAAGCTAGAGGGTAGGATGTCTACTTCATATGGTAGGTAGTGGGAAACCACTGTAGGTTCTTCATCAGGGATGGGACATGATGAAAGTGTTTGAAAACAGACAGTATTATACATTCTCTAAACTGGATTGAAGAAAAGATAGATGAAAGGTGGTAAATACTTTTCTAGATTAAGGCAATTTTTTGAAGAAGGTAAATTATAAAGGGGGGAAATGATCTGGATTCATGGAAGGAAAAACCCAATTACACTTTCCAAAATTAGGATGAATAATATTATTCCATAACTTCTTATGTATATTTTTATAATTTTTTAATTTTCCAATTACAGTTGACGTACAATATATTAGTTTCAGGTGTACAACATAGTGATTGAACATCTATATAACTTATGAAGTGATCACCTTGATAAGTCTAGTATCCATTTGGAGCCATACATAGTTATTACAATACTAGTGGCCCAGTGTACGAAATTTGTGCACCAGGTTGGGAGTGGTTCCCTCAGCCCAGCCTGCACCCTCTCCAATCGGGGACCCCTTGGGGCATCCTAAACTGGCAGTCAGACAGCTGTCTCGAAATCTGGGACCACTGGCTCCTAATCGCTCACCTGTCTGCCTGCCTGCCGGATTGCCCCTAACCCCTTTGCCTGCCTGCCTGATTGCTCTTAACCTCTCTGCTTGCCTGCCTGATTGCCCCTAACTTCCCTCCCCTGCAGACCTGATCTCCTGATCTCAGACCCCCAATAACCTTCCCCTGCTGGCCTGATCACCCCTAACTGCCTCTGCCTTGGCCCCCACCACCATGGCTTTGTCCGGAAGGAAGCCAGATGTCCGGAAGATGGCCGGTCGACCTGGTCTAATTGCCCTTTTATTAGTATAGATTATTGGCTATACTCTCTATGCTGTACCATGACTTCTTATTTTCCTGGCTGTGATATGCCTTTTATTGGTAGATAAGTTGTACCAATGGTTTGGAATGCTGCAAGTTAGTAATATCTAAAGATGAGAACACAACTTCTGAAAGAGCTTTTGGCAACAGAATGGGGGTGGGGTGGGAACTGTTCTGTCATACTGATTGTACCCTGAGAAATCTTCAGTCATTCCTATTATTAAAAGGGCCCTATTGAGAAGATGATATTAAGAGATTTACATTAAGAGCAGAAGAGAATGTGAATCTCTGGGAAGAATATAAGAGTCAGGACAATAAGAAGTGGATGAAAGAATTTTAGGGTTGTTGTTTTTGTTAAGGTTTGTTAGGTGAGGAGACATGCTCCTCAGATATTTGCCTGGCCAAGGAAGTCAGTGTCTCTCATTTCCCTTTCAGGTATAGTCTTATGAAATCCTGTTGGCGCTGGAAAGAGGACAAGCGCCCTTCAGTTAGAGAATTATGCTCACGCCTAGAAACTGCCTCTCGGACTGCAGATGACAAAGCTGTGTTGCAGGTACCAGAGTTGGTGGTGCCTGAACTGTATGCAGCTGTGGCGGGCATCGGCGTAAAGAGCCTCTCCTACAGCTACAGCGTCCTTTGAAGAACCTGGGGCAAGAAACATTTATGCGTGATCATATACCCTTGGAATTCCTCTAAGGAGAGAGGATGGACTTTCTAGTGGGACATAAAGGAAGAAGTGGGACATGGAGTTGGATCTCCCCCATAAATTTTCCTAGATATGTGAAATGATGCTGGGTGAGACTCTCCACACCAGAGTAGAGAAAAACAGTTTCATTTATGTTGTCCCAAATCCTAAAGAGTCAGGGTAGAAGTGGTAGATAATGTCACTGCAAAGGAGGTTTTATAAATCTGAAAAAAATTTTTTTTTGCAGGGGGGTATGGCACAAATAAGCTGGTACATCCTACCACTGGCTAGTTTCCTCCTGAAACATGCTTTTATCTAGACTATTATAAGGTCCAGAGAAATTAGAATCACATGAGGAAATAGAAAGCCCCAAAAGGAATTGATGAGAAAGAAAATTAAAGGTCCTATTTGCTCAGGGATATAGACGTGAACCAAGGTCATCCTTCAAAGAGAAGGTGGAGGTAAGACAAAGTTCCACAGTAATGATCCCTTCATGCAGGGCTAGAGGAGAACCACAAAGGAAGATTTCCGAGTTTCCCCTGGGTAGAGGTAAGACAAAGATGGCCCCCTTTTATCTAATGCTGAGGCAAGTGAACTCTGTTTCTGCTATTTTTAACCAGAAGATGGAGAGGTCATTTCATGATTAAGAACATTCAATATATATTGTTGATCAGGCTTGCTTCCTGATCCTTATAAGATTAAGGAGACTGAGCCTAGAGTCAGTTAGAAACATCAATGATATACTGTGTGTAATAAATATGAAAGGTGGAAACCAAGTAAGAATACTTAGTAGGCCAGATCTTTATCAAGGCCTCACAAAGTATATCCAAGACAGAAGGATAATAGCTTCTGATTTCAATTATCCATTGACTCTGTGAAACTTATTCCATTAAATTAATATTTATTGAGTCAAAGTAGGCTCTTCAGATATACAACTGCCAGAATCTCTATAGTAGGAAGGATAAAAGTGAATGAAAGATAGAAAAATTAAATAATCTACATTGTCTGAAAAAGGATGAAATGGGTATAATACTTACTTCACAGGGTTGTTGTGAGGACTGAAGGAGAATAAGTATTTATATGATACCTGGCACATAATGTATGCTCAATAAATGCTAGTTTCCGTTCTTTCCCCTTCTTATTCTAGAATCTTTCCTATCTTTTTCTTTTAAAATCTACTGTAGCCAAGAAGAAAACCTTGGTCATCAGTCATGCTGATGTAGGACATGTGGTCAACTACCACATGACTAAAATGTTGAAGTCATCATTTTTGTGTGTACTTCTGGGTGATGATAGTAATCTCCTACTACTGCAAAATAATGAAAACATCACGATGATAATAATTCAGTTGAACATGTGATCTGTGATTTTAAAGAATGCTCACTCTGGGTACTCTGGAAAGGACATCTAAGGCTGGTGTAGGAAAGATGACTGGCTGTCGAAAACTTTGTAGAAGTGAGAATCCTGATGGAGTCATGATGAATCATCAAACTAAATAATGATTCGTGCATATGTAGGAATACCACAATGACTAGTCAGAAATTAAATTAAGTGGCAGTAGAGAGAAGGAAGGTTGAGTGGCTTGGTACTAAATAATCAAGTCATGAAAACTCATCATTGCTTCTAGGTTCTTCATTTAAGTCAAATTTACACAAGATTTCTTTAATCATTCAAATATATGTAAATATTTTAAGTTGAGTGTTAAGGACAACAATGCTAAAACATGGTGCTAGGTGATAAATAAAAGAAATAAGAGAGCTTTCAATTACAGTCTGGAAAGTAAGATACATTATATACATATTTGTGTGAGAATTCTTAAATTACACACTGTGGTAAGTGCTACGAAGAAACAGAGGCCCAGCCTGTGTGGCTCAGTTGGTTGAGCATTGGCCCATGCACCGGAGGTCACCAGATCTATTCTGGTCAGGTCACAGGCCTGGGTTACCAGGTCAGGTGTGTAGGAGGAAGCCGATTCCCATTGATGTTTCTCTCTTCCTCTCTCTGAAATCAATAAAAACGTTTTTTTTTAAAGAAACAAATAGGATAGAGGGGAATATAAAATGGGAAGCTCCCTGAAGATATGCCGTTTAAATTGAGACCTTATTTTCCATCATCGTATTTGATCCTCTCAATAGTTCTATCAACGTTGACTGCCGTATAATCAGTTGGTTTATGGACAAACAGGCTTAGAGACAGTGACTCTAAGAGGTTAGGTAGAGGGAAGTGTTGGGAATGAATCTCAGATCTTCTGACTGTCATTCATTTTACTACACCCCACTGAAAGTCAAAGGTCATCAATAGACAGGATTACTCTGTGTGTTGGTAAGAGAAAGATGATCAATATTGTTTGAAATATAGATTGTAAAGTTCATCTTGTCTTTCCCCACCCTTCAAAGCCCACCCCACACTAAGTCACTGCCACAGCTCCCCAGGCCGCTAAAGATGAGCCCTGACCGAATGAAGTTTTCCTATTGAAAGGAACTGTTTTCATACTACGACTGTCGGGATTTTTAGTTTCAATGTGCTTTCAAAATTTCAGACCCTGTGTTTGAGACCTGCCTGCCTGCCTGATCGCCCCTAACGGCTGCGATTTTGGGATTCTTTGTCTCTATTATTTATAGGCTGCAAGTTGCCCGATGACTCGCGTTGTCCAAAGGGAGAGCCCTGTTTTAGGTAGAAATCCAGCTGGAAAGGGGTCGAATCCAGGTCTGACAATCCGATTTCGGGCTTTAGCTTTACCCACCAGTTAACCGGGAAAGGCCACGCCCCACTCACAAAAAACGCCCCGGGACCCGACAAGGAAATGTGACGTGCGATCCTTCGTTCCCGGCCCATAAAAATGCTGTCATTTGCTCACCCTTCTGGGCTTTGGCCAGTATAATGTGATTTACGTAATTTTAAAAATAACATGACTGTCTCCACTAACGCGAAGCTGAGCTACCCGCTCCGGTGCGGTCAGGTCCTCCTGGCAC